CGATTCCTCGAGAGTCTGACTCAGGCTCGAATGATTTTGTCAAAGGTGCTTTGAGCACCATGTCCTCATCGGCACACATGCAAAGAGAAAAGTTCCTTTGCGTTTTTTCCTGCATTTTTCACAAATCCATAGTAAGTGTCAAGACCCCCTAATAAATACTGTATTGTATGGCGTACCTGCATAAACTGAACTAGTGCGTCGTTACCTCAGAGGGCGGCCACCTTCCTCTTTTCATATCAGCCGATTCAAAATCATTGCTCACCCTGTTGTAAGCTACGAAGCTTTGGAATAACCACACCAATACTTTGAGGGACGATGATTAACCTGAATAAAACTTACATAAGGGTCCTGAGCAACCGGTGGAAGTTTTACACAAATTTGCGATATTTTCCCTGTTCTTTACTTGATGTTGCGATATTTTACAATAAAAAAAACATCGATTTGCTAACTGCCGTACCACTATCTTCGCAAATTATAAAAACAAGAATTATGCAGAGGGCAGAGATTCAGCAAACTCTCCTAGCGTTTGGCTCACAGCGAGTGAGTCTCAGTGAAGTTGACAGCTCAGTCTTTTTAACTTTATCACGTTCTTTGCTGTGAAAATTCCCTTCGAGAAAGATAAAGGTATGCCCCAGGATTACATTGGTGTGGCTCTTGCACACGAATGCGAATGTATTGGTGCGAAATGGGCCGGCAGTAAAGAAAAAAGGAAAAGAATCCGTCGAAAACGCTCAGGTTAAGGGCTCACTCACCTTCCTAATCGGCTGTGCTAAGGGAATGAGAGACTAAGCGCGGAGAGGAGAGTATGAGGCGAGAGAGCGCTACAGATGAGAGAGCGCCAGACAACAGCCTGATAAGAAAAAAAAAAAAAAAAATCTGCAGCTTGCAGCAGCTTACTTTGCAAGGCCCTAAGCGCTCTTGTCGGTTGGTCTCAGCCGGTGTCAGGATCACCACACTTGTGATGATCCTGGTGGGGGTTCTTACACCAGACAACAGAGCCTTCACACCCACTCTGCTCAGTTAACTTGAATTAACCTAATAGTAGACCTACTTTCTGCGCTTACCCTGCTGCGCAAAATGAAGAGATCTACTGGTAGATGACCTTGTCTGAACTTTTTCTGAGTTAGGTCAGGCGACAGAAAGGTAGTTACTACGCGACAATAAGAGTTTTAGAAACAAGTAAGGTGAACAAGGTCGGGAAAAAAAGCTGCTTCTTAACCATTTTTGGGAGAGGACTGAAGTCGAATCTTAACACTAAAGCTTCGTCTCGCTCACCTCTTTCTGTCCTCGGTATGAACGCGGATCCCACTGTAGTCGACGATCGTACCATCGCTGAGTGTGAGAAATCACATAAGCAGCCAATTGTTCGTTTTCTTTCTGTAAATGGTATTATAACAGCTTTTTCAGCATTCGGCTTGTGTGAGTGGGCTTCATGTGACCATGCAAGTCAGAGCCCTCTATTCCTGCGTACTTCATTGGCAAGAATTTCTCCATTGTGTGCCACTTGTAATTCAACCCTTTGATTAGGACTAACTTCGAAAAATAACTCGATAACACACTCACCTACTTCGACAAGAAATTCGCCGAGAACAATTGTATCATGGATGCACTAACAAGGGAGGTCGTTCAGGGTGTGGGACGCTTTTTCAAAACGGTTTTTTGCATGCTGTAGGGGCTCTCACGTAGACCACAATACTGTGTTTCATTTTCGCTGAGCGGCCCCCTGAAGGCCAAAAAAAGGTCGAAAAAAATTGTTAAGAATGGGTGGTTTTCAGTGCCTTGGAGTGGTGTTTCGGACTTGTGGAAAAGATCACCCGCAAATTGAAGGGTACTGATGAAGACGGTATCGAAAACAGCGTGAAATTCGCTCAAAATTGAAGTTCTGTCAGTGGTAGTGCTGAAGAAAGTACGAGGGCTTCATAAGCGTAGTCGGCATCGCGTTGCAGCGAAGCGGTGGTCAAGTGGATAGTGTGTCCGCCTCGAGTCTGCACGGGTTTGTGGTTCGAGTCTACCCGACGGCAACTGTTTTGCATTTTTGATAAACGTTCCCAAACTGACGCAGAATTGCTTTAGAGTCAAAACTAACGCTATATTCACAGTCAGGACAACCAGTAGCTCTTACAAATGGATTTTCTATAAAAACTGGCGGGATAAGTTTGCAGCGCCAAACTGGCGCCAAATGGCGCCTACGCCAAAAACGAAAGCCATATTCGTGATCAGGACCCTGATTTACCCCCACATGCAAATTTCGGGAAAAATCGAGGTTTTGACCTAACTTCGAAAAAGGGGGTGACCATGGGCTACAGGTCGTCATGCACGCCAGCGAGCAACTTGAAGACGAGCGCGGCGCGGAAATCAAGCGGAATGCCTTGTTGGTTCACGAGAACCAAAATTCGTTTTATACTAAACATCTTCCATCACGTCCCAGTCCTTGGAATCGATCCAGCTATCGAGATGCAGCCGTGCGAGTGGAGGACCCGTGGGTCCAATATACCACGTCCTGATGGAGGGAGGAATCTGTCGACTTCAAAATCATGGTGTCTTGTTGTCCATTACCAGCTTGGGTGTCTGCCATTGTCCATTTAGTATTGGAACTTCTCATTATTTGAGAAGGAGAACAAGGAATTCGTTTCCAGTTCACCAGCTGCAGGTACTTACGGGCTGACCTATCAATGGCCAATTTTTCGGACCAAGGTCAAAATCTCAATTTTCTCTAGAACTGCTAATTTAGAGAATATCGAGTGCCCTGATCATGAATATGACATCAATCTTTTCCGATAGCTTCAATTAGCGCTTTTTGGCGCCATTTGGCGTCTTTTTGGCGCTACAACTTTTTTCCGCTAGATTCTGGCAATAGTTCGAGTGCAGTACTCATTCATGGTCTTGATAATGAATACGGTACCTAATATTGGTGCTGGCGCTATTTTGAGCGAATTTCGAGGCTCCAGTCCGAATGCAAAAATTTTGTCATCAGAGGGATTGAACCCTGGACCATTTCTTTACCATTTTTTGGCCTTCAGGGGGCCGCTCAGCGAAAATGAAACATAGTTTGTAGTCCCCGTGAGAGCCCCTACAGCATGCAAAAACCGTTTTGAAAAAGCGCTCCACACCCTGAACGACCTCCCTTGTTAGTCTCTCATCCCCTTAGCACAGTCGAATAGGATAATGAGACCCGTAACACCAGGAAGGTCTTTCAGGGCGTGCCAAGCTTTTTGAAAACGGTCTTTTGCATGATATAGGGGCACATGCGGGAACCACAGAACCATGTTTAATTTTTCCTGAACGGCCCTCTGAATACCAGAAAAGGGGTCCCTAGTTCGATTCCTCGTGGTGACAAATTTTTGCATTTCGAGTTGACGTTCAAAATTTTAGCATGAATAATTAGTACCATATTCATGATTAGGACCGTCAGTAACCCTTACAAATAGACTTTGACTTAAAAACTGGTGTAAGAGGTGTGACACCAAGCAGCCCCACTGTGGTGTCACACCTTTTTCACCAGTTTTTAATCAAAGTCTATTTGTAAGGGTTACTGACGGTCCTAATCATGAATATGGTACTAATTATTCATGCTAACTCCATTTTGCGCGAATTTTGGAACGTCAACTCGAAATGCAAAAATTTGTCACCACGAGGAATCGAACTAGGGACCCCCTTTTCTGGTATTCAGAGGGCCGTTCAGGAAAAATTAAACATGGTTCTGTGGTTCCCGCATGTGCCCCTATATCATGCAAAAGACCGTTTTCAAAAAGCTTGGCACGCCCTGAAAGACCTTCCTGGTAAGCGTTTTCGCCGGATTCTTTTTCTTTTTTTTGATGAAGTTAAAAAGATTGAGTGTCAACTTCTGTGTTGATGACTCACTCGCTGCGGGCCAAACACTAAGAGAGTTTGCTGAATCTCTGCCCCTCTGCATAATTCTTGTTTTCATATCTTGCGATGGTAGTGGTACTGCAGTTTCAAAATCGATGTTTTTTATTAAAAAAATATTCAACATAGTGAAGAACAGGAAAGTTCGCGATCACGTATGGAAAACATTCCCACCATTTGCTTGGAACACTTATTGTGAGCTTTTCAGGTTATCGTCCCTCAAAGTATGGTGTGGATTCCAAAGCTTTTTGTTTACAACAGGTATTCATGATTTTGAATCTCGATAGTGATTAAAAGGAGGTTGGACTTTAAGTAACAAGCAATAGTTCAGTAAGCACGCATTAAATACACTGGTGTGCAAAACTTAAGGACGAGACAGATGAAGTATCATAACCTTTTGATAGCTTTGTGGACCGTTTAACGGTTCCTGTTAACTGCTTTCTTTAGTGCCCTGTGGCAGCTCTTTGTATGTGTGGTTAGGTTCCATAGAGTCATGTTACGCGCCAGTAACACGTCGTTGGAAAAGCTACGTTCGTCCCTAAGTTTTGCACACCAGTGTACATATTAATCAAGTCTTAACATAAGTTTTCTCGATGGATTGAAAAAGCACATGAAAATCGCAATGGATTTTTTCTCTTTGCATGAGTGCCGATGAGGACATGGTGATCAAACCACCTCTGACAACATCATTCGAAGCTCATTGAGTCAGGCTCTCGAGGAATCGTACCAACAGCAGTCACTTGATTGACCGGCCAGGATAAGGGCAAGTGATCTCAGGATGAAGTCACTGTGGCAACTGAAGTAGAGCCCTGACTGCTGAATCGTAGCCTTGATCTGCTACCGCTGGAATGGCAAAACGTGAAATTCAAGGGAGCTATACACTCGCTTCATGAGCAATGCAATTCTGTGTCCACTGTAGAAATTTGTGTTGATACCTAATACATCAAGCGTCAGCGTAAAAAACACTACTGCAATTTCCTTCCTCTGGATCGAGCTGATTTTAAAGTTCTTCGAATGTACCGCAACCGTAATTGCTTAGAATGCGAAGGCTAACTGAGACCTTAGCTGGTCTTTGCAAAATATACATGTACATTTAAACATAGAGCTTCAGAACTGGATTATCTAAAGCGTGAATGACCTTTAGGTAATCATTCATCACGAATCACAAGGTATTTGAAAATAAGGAGCCTTATGGAAAGCGCTTTTTTAGTTTGGAATCTAAAGAGATGTTAGCCCCAAACCGAGCAGATGTTCGACTCTACAACGACGGTGCTATCAAAGTGAACATTCCGCAGTACGTGAGCGCCATATGTCGAATTCAGACGCAGTCATTCCCTTTCGATTGTCAGGTGCGTGTGTTGATTTCGTAATTGAAATGATAACAGAAGGGAAGTGCCATCCTGCTGGTTGCTTCATTTTCGTGCGTTCTTAATGCAAGACTGTTGCTGCGAAGTTGTCGAAACGCCTAGTGCAGCTGCCAACCAAGTTGATTGCCGTGAAAGCCTTTCTAGACATGGAGCACTTTTTTGAAACGCGTTTTTGTTTTTGTTTTCGAAACGACACGGGTAGGGAGCATCAAAGTGAAGATCATTTTTCTGAGCGGCTCTGGGGATACCAAAAAACATGTGGAAACCAGGGTGCGGTTCAATCAACACTGCAGACAAATTTTTGTATTTCTCTGGTTTCCACTTTTCAAGGCTCATATTTGTCTAAACTTATTCAGTGAACGAAAAGCTCCCAATATGTAACTAGTCAATGCCAAAAATGCTATAGAGCTTATTAAGCCATTGGCGACAATGCGGTCAATGTGGGGATGCAGGCATAAAAATCTAAATGTTATCAAACACAAAGAGGCACCAAAATTTATTTCAAAAGAGTCCCAAAAACTTGCAAAATGTTCAAAAAACTCCAAAATTCCAAAAAACACGAAAAATTTCAAAAGAACTCCTTTGAAATCTTCTGCTATATTTCGGTGTTTAACACCTTCTTCAGGCATGTGTATGCCTCAGCCAAGGATTTAGCTGCCCTTACGGGAGCCGCGCCGTTGGAGTGGAATAAATTCCACTGGAGTTTTTTGAACATTTTGCAAGTTTTTGGGACTCTTTTGAAATAAATTTTGGTGCCTCTTTGTGTTTGATAACATTTAGGTCCTGATGAGGCTCCGGGACAGCACAATACTGAGAGATAAAAAAATCTTCCCAGCGCATGTTCCAAATTTCTAGTAATCACACCTTGCTCAGCATCTCCGTATCATCTATAGACACCTTGGTCCGGCGCCAGCGCCATTTGGCGCCATGTTCGCGACGACCACGGCCTTTTTGCCACCATCAATTACGCTGTAAAATCCTGGAAGGGTTATCGGTGGTGCTTGATGCATGATAAATGGCAATCCGTTTCTCAGCGCCGGGAAATGCGACGGCGCTAAAGAATCGGCTCACACATTTCGGCGCACTGTCTTTTCTTCGCCAATTATACTGTAAAACTTAGGAGCAGGGATAATCGCGGTGTGTCCGTGGACAAGCATGAAAAATACCAGGCCTCACTATCTGTGCCGCTTCATTTAGCGCCACGCCAAGAAATGGATGCTATGTCTGAGTTAGGGACCACCAATTACCCCTGTTCCCAAGTTTACAGCGAAATTGGAGGCTAAACAGGCTCTGGCGCCAGTTGGCGCCAGTTGGCGCCACCTGATGCCGGCGCTTAGAGAATGCTATATTCATGCTCAGCACCGTTGGTTACCCCTCTCAGTGAAGTTTCGTCTCCGATGAATTTTTGCGACCCCTGAGGTTATGTTAGTCAAAAAGACTGTCATCTGGGACAATGCGTCCCCACGTCGAACCGCAAGGATGCGAGCGATAATGCGCCAGACACGCGAAAAATGGCATTGTCGGCAACATGTTAAGATGTGAAAGTTCCAATTTCTACGAAAAGTTTCTGAGCTGTTTCTGACAATCCTAGGGCCACTCAGAAAAGATGATCATCGGTTTTATGCTCCACGCACGTACCTATACTATGAACTAACTCGTTTTTAAAAAGCGCTCTACGCCCTGGAAAACTTTCCTGGTTAGAGAAGAGGAGCGGATGCACTGCTGCACGTGACAATTATTACAATCATTGAAGAATGTTACTGTTCCTTCCTTAGAGGGCGATAGTTTATCCCACCCTTCCCTCCGCCCCCCCCCCCCTTTGTGCCTTTCACTGCCATGACAGCATCATGTGAAATGGTGGAAAGTGTGCTTTGTGGAAGTTTACATCACCATTGTAGGTAATGTTATCTCAAGGATGTCACAACAAAACAATGATATCGCGAAAGCTACGGACCAGTTTTGTTAGCAGTTCGCTTACTAAATCAACTGCCTTTCCAATTTATTGTGTGAAAGGACAGCCACACACTATGAGAGACATCGAGTTATCAATGTAGGGCATTCTTTGGCAAATAGCCAATACCAAACCGCACCCGTCCAAACTGAGCGTTCAAAAATGTTCCATCTACTCTGTGTTCGACTGTTTTTTTTTTAGTTTTTCTTTATTGCCCCACCACTTGGCACTGGAAAATAACGGCTTAAAAGTCTTTCACTGGCTCTGTACTGTGTGAGAATGGAGCTGAGAGAACGACTCAATGACCGCGTTCGAGAGCGTGACTGGACAGGCGAAAATCTTCGACGAGTCGTCGACAAATCCTCCACCGGTACCCTACTAGGCATCGCTTCGTTCATATTGGACGAACTTCAAATTATCGTCTTCGCTACCTTTGACTAGGCTTTACCCGTGGTAGTGTTTCCTTTCCCTTCTAGGCAGCTATGAAGGAATACAAAAGGAAATGTTAGCTATTTGTAGCCTATGCTTGTCACTGCTGTACAATGCCTGAGCTAAACGTAGTGAAATTGGGATGCAGCATGCACCTGGTCACAACGAGAACTGAGCATAGTTAATCGTGTGAATCGCTTGAGAAAATTGGGCACCATATTTCATGAATATGTGCTTATTGGGCGAAGGTGATCTTGTGCCAATTGGTGCAGATTAGAGCGCTTTAATCAGAGAGTCAAATTCTGGATCAAATCTCGCCCAGTCCGACCAAGTCTTCCTTCCCATTAGTAATACTTATGGCACGCTCCTTATGAGGTACCGAGCTCTTCTTCATGGACAAAAACATCGCCTAGACACTGGGTGCCCCCCCCCTCACAGTTTTTCTATGGGCCAAATTGCCTTCAAATACCACGACGGGTTTTGATGCGTGGATGGATCGTAGACCCCTAGAAGGATTGATCGACATCGATAGTTTTCTTTATGCTTTATTTTATAGCTTTATTTTTCAGTTTTGCGCTGTAGCATTGGCATCTCCGCTTCTGAACGTGGATGAAATGATTGTCGACGCTACTCAGCCACCCAAGGACTCCTATTTTGCAGTGAGTGCTATTGGTCATTTTTTGCAAGCACTTTGATAGTATTCAAGCAAAAATGCGGGGAGAGTGCATCACCAGAACATTACAACCGTCGAACTCAAGGAGGTCTACCAGTCACCGCTCCAGCCTGAAGCTACTACGTATTCTCTACAGTTAGGTGACAGATGGGGACGGTATTTCTGATTGAGAAGACTCATTCAGGCCATCGTTTCAAGTGATGTCAAAATGTCCATGATTCGTCGAAAATCTCGTTGAGCTCGTACCGTGAACTACCTTTCCGTGGGAAAATCTTCTGATGTCGTCGGTGTAGAAGGCTATCATGTTTTTTTGATAGATTTGAAAGTGCTCTTTAATTCTGGATTGAGAACATCCGGTGTGAAGCAGCGAAGTGTAATTAATTCAATTCTGAGTGTGGAAGGAAACCTTTTCATTGCTTTCTCCCTGTTCAGTGTTTCTAGTGCTCTTAGATTCCCAAGCATTTGGAGTTGCGCAAACGGTACTACAATATGTAAGCAAATCCATCTGTACCTGATTCATATGGGACCTCTATTCTGCCTGATTCGGATGGGATGGAAGAAGCGGGAACGCTTGTTCAGTGTTGAACGCGTGTAATATGGGTTCCTTGCAAGGACTTAATTTGCAGCAGAGTTTGTTGAGAAACTTCAGAAACCTCTTCCTTTTGGGAAATTGGTATCTTCGGGAGATGTTGCGAACTATTATGTATCGCAGTGAAAATGGCTGTACTTCCACCCATTTTAATTCCACCTTTGATTTCTTTCACTGATCTCGATCATCCTTATAATCACCATCTGTCCACAACGCTCACCTGAATTCTCGACACCTTGCTTCAGAACGATAGCGGCTGGGAGTCGAAGTAGCAAGCGATCTCGTCTTTGACAGTACTGGCCGTCACATTTTTCCGTGAGCAAGCTGATGATTAACGTCGGAACGAAAGTTCTTGAGATCAAAAATGTTGGTAGAGATGGGACGATGTTCCCGCAATCGCATGGTAGACGTTGGTGGTCACCTTTGAACCCATTGCCATAATTGTGAAGCTATTTGTGGAAGGCATTGTCTCGGAAGGTAGTTTCCAGAAAATACCACCCGGGAAGTATTTATATAGCGGACATACCAAAAGGATCAGGAACTATGCGGGAATGAAAACCCGTTTTTCTTAAACAGTTGCTGGTTTTCTTCAAGCCCAGCAAAAATATACTTGTCGGAGAAGGAACAATTTTTTACTTCGGAATATGTGTATTCAGATCTCCTTTTGCCAAATTGTGCACCATTGCGCTGGCCAACTGCGAGCAAAAAACTGAGTTGATACAAAAAGATGTAAGAAGCCTTACTTGAAAGAGGAAGATGAAGTTTTGTGATTTGGAAATATTTGGAAATTTGGAAATATTATGAATTTTTGAGAAAATTTTAGAATTTCACTTTTCTCATCCCCCTCTTCCCATCACCTCGCTATTTCTTGCTTTTTTTAAAACTAACTTCTCCGAGGGTTGACGGGTCATATTTTTTAGAAGAATAATGATGATGAGTGGTCCCAAAAAGCTCAGCTACTTTGGAATTCTGCCAAAAACTGGCCACCATTTTACAAGTTCCCTGTGGAAGTTACACTTCAAAGCGAACGTTAGCCATATTCATGAATCATTGCAATGCACTCACCATCAGTCTGCGGTTTCGATGCCGGCGTCCCACTGGGGATTACAAATGCTCTCTATCATTAGCAGCCTTGTGATAGCTCTGGATGAGTGATGCTCTTCCAAGCAACCCAACTTTCTCAAAGGTCCCTTTGGGTGCCCTGTGGAAACAAATCTCAGAGACTTCTAATGGGGTCCTTTTGGTGGGGAGGTGTCTATCACTTCTCGATGGATCTAATGTCATCGGAAAGAATGACCGATCATTCGCTATAAAATTGATTCCCAAGTGTTATAATAATATTCCTGTTCCGAAAGCTCTTTTATACTCCGTGCAAAACTATCGAGACACCCCAAATTTTAGGTCTCTGAGTTGCTAAGAAGACAGCACAAATATGGCTTAGGCCATTCTATTCAGCATATAAAAAAAGCTTCTATAGGAAAGCTCCATACAGCTTCATCAACTTCCGGAAATATAGGGTCAAAAAGTGGCCGTTGTAAAATTATATAGCCCAAAATTTGACAATTTTTACTTCAACAACTTCTTACACTACACTTCACAACCACAATAGTGCAGTACTGTAGATAAGTAGTCCATGTACTTGCAATCCCACCATGAGGAGCCCACTTGCAGAAAATTTGCGACCAATTTTTGCGGGTTTCCCCCTAGTCCCGCGCGTGATCTTTTTGTAGCGCCTTTTGTAGGAGATGCACGAAATCCTACTGATTTTGTAGGTATGCCATTTAAATCTAGTCAACAAGTAAATCATTCGAATAAGTTTTCATGTTGGCTTCGAAACAATCAAACTCGACCCTATTGACATATTTTCCGAAAAGTACAACCCTGTTATCCACTGACATGGACGACAGCGTTGTACTGTTCAAAAATAAGTCAAAAATGACGATATGGGTTGCACACCGTAGCAGATAGTGCTAGAGCACAACACTGTATTCGGTAAATCTTCCACCTTGTCGTACACATTGCCCTTCTTGTCCTACTCCCTTGGCTTAACAAGTTATTCGGTGTTTAATGTTTCTTTTTGTTCTTTTTTGTTTTTTTTTTGGCAAAATATGTCCCTTCTAGCCAGCCTGAAGGACGGTCGTCCTACACACTTGGGATGAGCAGTCCCTAAAAATGATATGCTATCGGTCACTGATTATCACTGATCATAGCTCTCAGATTTCTAAAAAGCTTCGTTCATATCACGAATGTTGCGAACGTGCATTCATATTCTGAAGAAAAACGATAGAGCATTCGCAAGCTCCTCATTGCTCAATGAGAAGGGTGCGTACCGTCCTGGGGACCCTGAATCTGCAGCCCGTCTCGAAGAGCTGGTAATTTTAGCTTTCTATGGTTCTACTTGTACCACCGACATTCTCTACATTTCCAGTAATATTTCTGTTTGAATAAGGCGCCTACTTGCAGCTTCATAGAAAACAAAGTTATATTCCAAAAGCTGTTCACACTTTCCATCGAACGAAGCCCGTTTGTTCCCAAAATTATAAGTTCCTCTCCCTGTAGGTAGAAGAAGTAGGCACTGTAGAGGTAGACTCCTCATATATGCACGTCTACTTCAGGGCAATGCTGAATGGTTGCTGTTTAATGTGACCGTGCGACACATGAGGTTTGTCGAGGAGGGCGAGTCGAGGGTTGAGGTGACTTTCCTTTTTCAGCATTTTGCGGGCTTTTTGTTTTCCACAACTTTTAGCAGAAGCCTAAAGAAAATTTTCCAGGTGCACTACATTTTTCATCTTCAACGGCGACCGATCTATTACATAACAGTTATCGTGGCGCCGACGTTCTTGATTTCAGCACTGTCGCTACTCGGCATCTTTTCACCGGGATCGAGTGACGGGCCACGAAACGAAAAGGTCTTCCCTTTTCGATCATTCGCATTAGCTCTCTCAAACAGAATTCTTTCAGAAGTCTTCTAACGATAATGTGTGTAATGAACATATCACTCCATTTTTATCCCTCCCTCATTTTATAGTTTGCATAACATCACAGCTTAGAAATTTGCAGTTTATTCAATCCGCATGTCACTGTCACACCATCACTGCGTACCATGTATACTCAGTTTCTCCTCATACCTAGAAAGTTTATTTACAGGTTTCTCTTGGACTTGGCAGTCTCCTTGCCATGACCGTGCTCCTTGGAATTGTTGCTGGAGCAATGCCAAAAAGCAATTCAATCCCTCTTCTTGGTGAGAATATTTATAGATTCAACGGTCTTCGTTGTTGCATCATGCTCTGAATAAAAGAATAAAGCGTAATTTTTTAGAACAATAAAAGTTAAAAGCCTCTCCTCTTTGGACGATAACTCACTCCAGACTTATTCCTTAGAAGAAAGGCGTCTGGTGACGCACTGGCTGGGTACCGCAATTTATTCTTTAGGGCCATACCCGTAGTAAATTTAGAGCAAAAGTTTTGGTGCTTCTGAACAGATATTTACTACGAGCGCTTCATCTCTATCCTATCAATGCAGTCAGCTTGTGACTGCGCAGCCCACTAAACGTGACTTTCGTTAGACTACCGCTCCTTTTGGATGAAATACCAAGCTGTGTGCGTCCCTGATGCGCCATGCATCTGACTTCTCCATACAATAATGTAGGCATTTTAGTTGGTGATGATTGATTTGATTTGTGGGCCTGGTCTATGTAATAGTGACATTCTTTTAGCTTCCATACGAGGTTTCTCATACGATCCAGCCGCCGTACCAATACGAAACTTGACCTGAGTGCTTTTGACTCAATGCGCTTCGAACCAGCCCCTCTAACTACTGCTTCACCCTCGCCACAATTTCGTATAGACCAAAACTCTTTCAGTGAAATTTTATTTACATCAAAACAGGAGGTTTGATATGAAGATGTGGAAGATCCATGTTGAATTTTCAGGGTACTACATTCTGATCGTCATTCTTCTATGTGCCATTGCAGTCAGCATTTCCATGGCTTTTCTCGCTATTAGCAGGCAGTACATACAAAAAGGTAAATTTCATCAGTAAAGTAATGCAATCAGTACGGCCCAACTTATTGGTCCTTTCCTGTAAGACGTTTGTCATAGTTGCAACACTTATGAGCAAATAAGCACTCAAAATGAAGCTTTTGCTAGCAATGAAAGCATCGCATTGCCCACGCCATCGGGTTGGTTGGTTTACAGCCAGGCCAGGGTTACTTCGTGTCTCATCACATGCGCTTTCGAGAGAGCCGATAAGTAAGGCTGGGAACCGCTATTGGCATCGCGGTTATTAACACATTTACGACGATGCGTGGTTTCGTGTTTTCAGTCGCGTGAACGCAATTTTGCAAGCGTCGCCGCCACGCGACCACGTCAATGACTTTTTGGGGGCAAATGAGCAAATGGGCACCGCAAAATTGTTTTAGAAATAATTAATACGCAGAGTTTATTCAAAGGTGTCGTGGCAGAATTTCGATGGAAAAACTGCAAAATTTGCCATATTTTGCTGCAATGGAAATCAAAACTTTAAATCAAAATTTATTTAAATTCTCAAAATTTATCTCGCGTCGGTGAAAACACGTGTCTTACCATCCGAAGGATTTGCCATTACTTCTATTACCCTATTCACTTATATGCTTATGCAAATGGGAAAGAAAAAGGAGAAGGAAGCGAACTGAAATTTTATTAGTCTCCGAATATCTCTTAACTAAGCAACTAAAATCTTTCACCGAACTATATCGTTCAGACTTATGTATGTGGTAGTTTGCGGTTCTTTCATTGCTATTGAAAAACATCCAGAAATTATGATACAAGCACTTGGCAGCGTTGGCTGGCAGTCTATGTGGGCTGCCATAGTTCCGCAAGTCCCCATTCCTGGCAGTCCATATGGGCTGCCATCGGCGTGAATGAGTCAATGTAATATGTATGTCTGTATAGTTGGGAATTGACCCTGACCACTGATGAGAATTTGGTATTTCCAAATATTCTTCCTTTGTTTTGAACCGTGTGGAGGGTGCCAAATTTCTTGTCTTTGATTTAGCGCTGCAAATTTATGCAGTACGCTCTTTTCCGCAAGAATGTGAAGCGCACTGAACATTGAATGCAAGTAAAGACGAGCGATGAGTCTGGCATTTAAGGTTGCGCGTATTCTGTATCATAGACAGAGCTACTACTGCTCTCTGATGGTGCAGGCTTACCTGACCAAGACGTGTTCACGTGAACGAATGGTGTGCTTAAATCACCCCTCTTCCCACTTATGCAGCTCTCATGTCCCACACCTAAAAAGTCACCAATGATATATCTAGTTCAATTCTAGCCGATAGCTTCAATTCTGATGTGGAAACAGGCGTATTTTAACGCTTTTTCAGATCAAATGCCGTCGAAGCGCATTCTGCGGTGGATGTTTATTGACGAGCCTCGTAAAAGAAGGTCCACTGTAAATTTGCGAAACTCATCCTGCAATCTTTACGCGGAGAAAGAGAGGTTTTTTTAGGCTCATCTTCACTATGACCGTTATTTTTGCTAAATGCTGCAACTTTTCAGCCTGAGATCGAAAATTCCTGAGTTGGCGTTAATCTACAATATTCTGGAGGAAATAGCAGACTCTCACCGAAATCTTCGTCGAAAAACTGATCAGAAGCTGCAACGAAAAGCTGTGCGTTCTTTATTTTCTATCGTCGTTCACATAAGCTGCTCTTGGTGTAACCGTAAGAAACTTTCAGGCTATTTTGAATGCGCGAACCACCTTAGCAGATGTAGGTTCTAGGGCTCAAGTATGGAGTTGACGGTGCTGGAGGCAAGTTAGTGAAAAAATAGAACAAAAATTGCAAATGACTAAAGCTCTGTAGTTTACTATGAAGAGGAGATGTCTGCTCAGCTAGTCGCGAGAATTGGCCCAAAAATGTGTCGCACAGATCCTTTTGCAAAGACCACCACTACTTCATGAATGGTTAGGCCTTTGGGTGGCACTAGGCGACTCGGCTGAGAAATAATTGCATTACTGATGATGACCTTAGTAGATCAACCATTTCTGTACGCGGGTAGGGTCATCCACGTTGAAAGAAAATGGCCGATATAGTGGCACGAACATAATCTAAAAATAGCGCTGGGATATTGACATTATGCGGAATGCCGCTGTAGCCGTTTTTTTCAATAGGTCTTCATGTGTTCCTCGAGCCTTTATGTACAGCCTTTTCAGTCAGTGGTTCTTCTCACCCAGACACTAGGAAATACACTCAATCAGGGTCAACCGTCCGTTGGACAAAGTCCAACGAGGGGGTGGGGGGTCGTATTTGGGGGTGGAAAAGAGGGGGGTCGTATTTCGCGAGGTAGCGTCAATGTTACAGTAAGGGGAGGGATGAGTTTTCTTGGGATGGAGATCTGGAGAGCGGATTATGATGGCAATGGTAGACAAGAGTGGTGGGTGGAGGATGGTCGTGAAGGGTTAACCCTGAGGGGGGTCGTATCGAGGCCCTCTAGAAAGGGGGAGGGGGTCGTAAAATTTTCGAAGTTGGTCCAACGTGACGGTTGACCCTGTCCTCAATCTCAGGATTTCAGATATTTATGCTCATTATTCCTCCACTGTTGGTCAACGGTCCATATCTGTTTCCATTTTTGAGCAATGTTACCCATTTTCTGGCCGTGAAATATGCCCTTCACGAAAAATTCATTTAATGACCCTGTCGAGCTGAAAGTTTCTTGAGAAAAGAATGTAGACAGCAAATACATCAAAGCCGGAATGCTAAACTTCGGGTAGGTGACGGGGTCTTTTCCACTGGCTACAATCGACCTGATGCATATTTTTGGGAAGGAACAGGTTCGGTAAACTCCTATAAGGATGCGATTGCTGAAGGGATAGCATAGTCGCTACGCGATGGTTAACGGCAGGGACCGCATGGTACAGTCGATTTAAAACATATGTTATAACGTTACCTTGATGCTTCTGTTTTCAGGTACAACACGAATGGGCACGAGTTTTCTCCCGCTTCGACTACTTCTTTCTCTTCGTCTTCGAAATGCTCAACATGGCTGCTTTGGCCGTTTTTCTGCGAGTCGCCTGGTTACCTACACCAGAACTTAGAGATCAAATTTTGTGATTCCAAGGAGATCTTCAGAACGGAAAATGGTGAACCTCGCAGTTTATACACAACCTACAGGATCAACCACCGAAATGCCTTATGGTGCACCCCTGACTTGTATGAAAAGTCGTCTGTCGTTAGGATCTATGGTTCCTATGTGAAGCCCTGAGAGACACGAAGAGAATCTGAGAGTAATTCGCTCTCAGACACTTGCTTTCATGTGTAACCGATTTTTGTGATTAAATCTGATAAATGTGTAGCAAAATTGAAAGGTATACTCTATATTGAATTTGAGAGGAAGTCACTTTCAGAGGATGATCACATTCGTTTTTGCCAGTCCTAACGACTCTATTGAGAGATTGAGAACAGTCGTTTTCAAATCTATCCCACATAGTTTGGTTTAACCGCACAAATGACGACTTTATGCCCTAAATCGACACGTCGATAGAAAATTGTGGTTGCGAAATATGGGCCCAATGAATCGAATACGTAGCAACGGTTCAATTTGTTCCATTCTGTTGGAACGGAGTCGCGCAGACATTCCAGCTTTCCCTCGCGAGTTTTAAGTTTCCAGGTGGTGCCTAAGTATTAGGCTTGCCGTTACCGTCCACATCTCCACGACATTGAAATGCACCAGTTTTCAAACCGTGAGTAGTCCAACTTTGTGTCCCATCGTTATCAAGTTTAGCATTATCATTATCCTCTCTTCGGGGCGGGGGGGCCTCATCCTGTATGAAATAAATCTGAACTTTTCCTGGTCGCTCTGACTCTCGCCAGCTTTTTAAGATGGTCGATGTTTGTGGATAATAAGTGTTTGTGTTTATATTAGGTCGGTCCATAAGTCTTGCAACAAACTGGCCGAATTTTGAATTTAATATTTTCATTATCTTTTTGTTCCATTCATCCGGCATGCTACCCTCCATCAATATCTACAACCTATTGCCAACACACTAGTAGCTGCTCGATGCCTCCCTTGTAGGACTCTACTGAATTCTGATCGAAGAAAGATCAGATGTCGATTTTGACATCATCATAGTTAGGATGAGCTTTCTTCTCTAGGAGATGGTTTGGAGAGGGGAGCAGAAGGGCATTATTTGCCTCGAGGTCAGGGCTATAACGTGAATACGGAAGAACTCTCCGTCCCAGAGTCTCGAAATTTTCCTGAATTTTCTTAGCAAGAGGTTTTTCAACGGTGTCATACAAAAGCAAACTTTGCCTTGTTTTCTCTTTCGTATTCATTTTTTGTTGTTTTTCGTATTAAAAAAGCGTTGATTCGAGCTGTGGATGTCCCCGATCTGTTGCGCCATCTACACGGAGGCTTCCAGAAGCTTTAATCTCCGTGTTATTCATCAACCGAGCCCCTTAGACGAGGTTGAACCCTTTTTTTAAAAAAAGCAAATAAGATCTCCCGAAGCATTTGAGCTGGACTACCGCCGCTTGTTCATTTGTTAGTAAACTGTACCCACTCCTCATCTTCGGCAAATGTGATGGATGGTCAATCGTAGAATCCCTAGTAAGTCGACTTGAACATAACGGTGTCAGATCGTGTTTGGAGCTGAATCGGGCTCAAGGCACGTGGGGACCAAACTCTACATTTTCGGATCTTCACAAGTCTTTGGAGATGCCACAGTGCTGTCTCCTTGTCGCATCGGAATCGCTCTAGCAAATGATCGATACTCTATCACATCCTTTTCAACCGCACGTCAGAATAGAGGCATGTGATTCATCAGTGATGGAGTTGGTTTATTTTCATTTCAGGAGTTCTCAATCTATAGAGAATAATGTTAGTTTGATTGCAAGACTGTGGACTGACGCTAAATTTTTGATGCAACAGCATTGCAACGCTAAACAATCACCAAGAATACGAATCATGACAATTGTTGTTTCGCTAAACCTCAACACATAATGTAGCTCGAGCAACTGTACTTATTCCAAGGCTTATTTTTTTTTTTTTCGCTGCTAGACTATACTGCTTCCCAAAAAATGCTGGATTTTAGGAGTATGACGAGCTGCGGAACTGACTGCTTTAGTCTACCACCACAATACACCTTTCCACATTACACACCCATCCGACAACAAGCATCACTACGGAGTGTCCGGCTATGCTCGGTCTTACTTCTTCTTCTTCTCCTTGGCGTTATCCCCCGCGCGCAAGCTCGCAGGGTCCGAGCTAGAAAAGCAAGAAGAAACAAGTATTTTATTACTGATTCCTTGGCAACTTTAAGACATGTTGGTGTGACTGGGGTATTCATCAGCCGGCCTGTCAACCTGGGCCTGACGCTGGTACTAGAAACCATTTTTGCAATTATTGCAGGGCATGGTTTCGAACCTCGGCAGGGATCGAACTCGCGGTTTTTCAGAAGTGCAGACATGAGTCTAACCTCTTAACACATTGGCATTCATGCCGGAACGGCTATGCTCGGTCTTGATGAAAAATTTGATTTTGCCGCGCGGTAGCGATCGGAGCAAACTTATAGTTCCTAAAGGTAGCAAAGAAGGTAAAGGAATGGTCCAACAAACCCAGACATACCGTATTTCATCTGGGTTTTGCGATTTTCTTTTCGGGAACCCCTTTCGTAGCGTATCCCGGGGGTTTTGTGCGGGGTTTTCAGGAGTGCACTTTACATCATGCGACGCTTCACCTTACACTGCAAGTTTAGCATGAGAAATAGTTTTTCCTCCTGCTCCAGTACTTACTGCAACGAATATCATATTGACAAAGCCTAGTACATGGGCTGCGTCAAAATGACCGGAGACCAACGCATCGATAGTAAAACATTTAACAGCTTCGAGGTATCCCAAGATGCTGTTTTCTTCCGTCTAGTCTATTAGTCTCTGGTGCTTGTCATGTACCTGTCACCACCAAATCTTATGTAGCGTGCAGGGGACCGAGGACGGGGGGGGGGGGGGGGGGGGGGGGTGGGGGGGGGGGGGGTGTTTGAGGCCCGGGACGGCGGGTTGACTGATACTGACACCGTCCCTAAATCACTGGACTTCGACGTTGAGGGTTTTTGGCACGCGACAATTATCATCGTTTTGGTGTATACCCGAGCACTATCAATAGATGCTCCAAGTGGTACAGGGGACAAGGAGCTGAATGCAGTCATTCTGGATGAGAAGGGCGTGTTTCTGTGGCGACCACGAACAATCTAAGGATTGTGTGCGATAGAATTTGCAGGTAGTTGACGCGCTGGTTTCACTGGATGTCACGAGAGATAGGAATCAGGGGGGCTCTTTTGGACTTATCAGAGCCCATTGCTATCCTGAGTTTATTTTCACTTTGAAAATCGTTGCTGGGCCTTCCATCAAGTAGGAGCTCCCGTTTACGAGGCAAGGGTGGTTCAGTACTAGTTTCAAGCAATTGATAGAACAGACGACCGATTCTTTTCGACTTTGTCGGCTTAGACGGTGGTAGAACAGCATTTCAGATCTGAGCTCGATAGGGTACGCTGTCGGATCCGTTCTAGAAGCTGAGGCTTGCATAAAACACATTATGTCCAGGGTTTCGTTGAAGAAACCGCTCTAAAATGAGCTTGACGAGTCCTACTCGCCACATTGCGTGCCACAGTCGATGGTTCCTCGATGTTTCTGAGGACCCGTATAAACACAAAACCAAGGAATTTCAAAAATTGCATGGATGTCGACGATTCAGAATGGGACTGTGCACGTCACTGCATTTTTGTTTTCAAAGAATTGCACCTTGCTCATCCTAGGCAACTCGAAGTCGCTGTCTCCGTAATTTTGGCGCACCCTGTAGTACGATCACACCAGTTAGCGCGCCACCGAAGACGCCCACTGGAGGTTAAATCGCCCAATAAGGTCAAAACTGAATGCCGAGAGAAAAGCAGGCTGGGATTATTAGTTTTCGTCCTCTACGTTCTTTCTCTTGTTTTGTTTTTTTCGAACGCCTCAACTTACTCTTGCACAATTCCCAGTTATTTTTTTTATTTTCTGTTTTTTTTGTTTTTTAGTTTCACCTTTCACCTCCCACGCCACTTGTTGACTTGTGCTTCTCACAATCCTTAGCTCCCCTTTTTTTTTTTTTTTTTATTTTTTTTTCATTTTTTTTTCATATACTTCTTCTTCAACCGTTTTTCTTATCGTTCCCACTTTTTTTTCTCTTGGTTGTAATTCGATCATTCCAATGGATAGCTGACCGCTGATGGTGCCAATAATTACATGATCAACTGGTTTTTGGCGTTGAGTTTCAAAAAGTGTAACCAATTGTGAACCGTGGATGCAGGTACGTGAAACTACCTGTGCGTTTCAAAATGTGCTTACTGCTTGATTCTCGTAAACTAAAGAAGAGCGAAGCAAACGACGCCGCGAATTCATACGGGCGAATCCCTATGCGATATCCTGCCTAGATAAACCACGTATCAGTGATTATAGAAATGACAATTATACTTCCGTGCAGAATGCGAAATTACTTTTCAAATACTTTCATTAGGGTGAAGGCTTGTTGTATCCTTAAGTCACGTCTGCAGGCTAACGGGCTCGTAGTCCGACCCGACCTTTTTGAAGTGTTTCTAGTGCACCATAGGACTTTGTCTTCTTGAGACGGCCTTGCATTGAAAGCACAGTTCCCAGCGGGTCTGCCATCTTTCTTCAGCATACATATAATGGCACTAAAGGATGCACAGCCCTATTGGAGAACATCTAAAGTGTAGTTATAAAGAAAACCCACCTGGGAAAAGCCTAATAAGGGCGTTAAACTCCTCAAAGATGGGTGTGGTTGGAGATTTCTTCGGGACCGCCCACTTGCCAGCCGTGATTTGACGGAGGCATTCGCGCTCGTTTTGGGACCACAGGGAGTATTTGAACTCTGTCCTTTAAAGTAATCAATGTGATCCTGCCTGTTACACTGGAATTGTTTCTTTTTTTTTGTTGTTGTGATGTTGTTATGTTATGTATAGTGTTATGTAATTATGTTAGTGTTATGCAACTGGAGCGCATTAGTGGGGCAAGTTCAGACAACTCGTCCAACGCGCGTCTTCCCACATCGCTGAGCGGCAGAAGGGGAGTCCCTGTTTAAAGCCCTGTTCGGCGTTTTTCTTTGGTTTTTTCGTCACTGTCGGTCAAATTGTCGCCTATAACTACATTATCAACGGTATTTAACCCGCAAATTCGTCCTGGGATTGTTGCTTTGACTGCTTGGCATTTCGTGGTGACCAGAAAGAGAACAGCTTCAACGATAGAAATGGTTTTTATAGCGAAAAGAGACAACACATAATTCGTTGATATTGCACAGAAAGCGAAAATCAAGTTTGCAAGAGATCATTGCGATAGACCGGTCACTTTTGGACTCCTATGGTTCCCCGTATAAGTTCCAAGGCACTGCATGGCCCGTAGTGTCACAGAAATGAATCCTCGTGTACGGACAGCGATCGATCGGCCATCAAGTACGTTTCCGTCATGTACTCAGCTGAAAAAGAATGTGTTAACGAGTTGTTTGTCAAAATATTCGACGAAACACTGCCAGAATAAACCGGAAAGATAAAAGCGCTGAATTTCGGAAGAGTGAGCAGAATTGGTCATTCGGTCTGTTCAACCGCTCGGTGATGAAGGATAAATAAAGATAAAGCATTTGCCGTTGATCAATCCCTTTTTGGGATGCGGCACGCATTCTACTTCCATTTGTACATTCGTAGTGGCGTTTGAATGCGATGTGGCCTATACAATGACTTGCGGGGGCCAGCCGATGTACAAGTCAGTGTTTTTATCCTCCCAGACAAGTCTGGTACCAATTAACCGACCCCGGAGGGATGGAAGGCTTGGTTGGCCCGGGCGACTCACGACCCAGGATTTGATGATCCCCGGACCGCTCGCGTGGTAAGCGTGCCACTTGCCACTACACCACTTCCGCCCCGACAGTGGTATATAATGTATGAAAATCCTGTTCTTAGATGCTTCCTTCGGAAAACATTTGCTATTTACATCCTGGAGGCTGAACGAGTATATCTATGAGGTGAAAACACCCAGTGATGCTTCATTTAGCACGGTTTCCTCAAAAGTATGAGGAGAGCGAATAATAAACGTCATGCCAACATTCCTCTTCTATTATGGAATAGCTTTATTGTTTTCGATAACGGAAGTCAAAAGTGCATTCGGACGGCTAAACAAGGAAGAGAAACTTGTGCATAATTGTACTGTTTACCGCTACTGAACAAGCTGACTGAGACCACTTATAGCACGGGTCAGGATCGGATTGGCGTGTTACGTATTTAAAAATTAGGCAAGAAGTGAATGGGGAATGTATGGGTTAAAAGCAAAAAGCATCATGAGGGGCACTGAAATTTCCTTGGAGGTGGGCCGTGGTATGACAGAGAAATACAGCGCTACAAGGAGGGGAAAAGACGAGAGAGCACGTCCCACATCAGAGGGCGCAAACGCCAAGCGACTGATAGAGTGGCGCCGCTGGCAACGAAAAAGTTAAGGTCTTAGCGTCTTTGCCCTGCACTTTTGGGTCGCAGCAGTCTTGAAATTCCCGGGCTTTGAGGCTCCTTTTCCCACCCTAGCAAGTACTAAGTACTCTTGGCATCTAACCCCGATCCGTGGATGCGAGAAGATGGGATGAATGATCTCAAATATGAAAGGAGCATTTCATCAGGCTTTGTGAGGGCATTATCGTGCCCTGTTCTGGAACAGAAGCCGAGCACTGTTGCATGCGAAGTTCAAACTCCATTTGAGTGGTCGCCGCACATCCTTAAAAATTTTGGCGATTCATGAAAGGGCTTACACACTTTTGGCTACCTTATGAATGCACGTGTGTGAAATTTAATTGAAATGCATTTTCGGAATGTTCACTTCTGAGCGCTCGAGCTACTTGGATGGGACTCAGCTTCCCATGGAACTTTGAATGAGACCCAGATATTTCGATAGAGCTTCAAACGCTGATTACAAATATGAAAACTAAAACTGCAAAATGAACTCTCCAAGTAAGTTGTGAGCAGTTAAAGTTGGCTGGAAATAAAGCGTTCATATGAATCGTGGTACCGTCCGGGCATTCAAAGTCGCCATGGAGTAGTGGTAGTGCTCTCGAAAGTTGCACTCCAACGGAAAGAGAATGCACGACCTCCCGGCTGGAGAGCGAGAGCACTACCACTACTCCACGGCGACTCTGAAAGCCCGGAAGCTAGCACGGTTCATATGTAATGCTTTACTTCCAGCCAACTTTGACTGCTCACAACTTCCTTGGCAGGTTCATTTTGCAGTTTTAGTTTCCATATTTGTAATCAGCGTTTGAAGCTCTATCGATATATCTGGGTCTCAATTCAAAGTTCCATGGGAAGTTGAATGCCTTTCCTGGTTAGTCTCTTGAGTCCCCTGTTACAGTTTTTGGCTATTGCTATTGGATTTGATCTATGGTGCCCAGCATCTATATTTGAAACACACGCTATGGTAAATTTGCGGCATTCCGCCCGAAAAACCCAGCGCAATGTCAATTTTCAACATTACGAGGCTCGCGCCTCCCATGCACTTTTAAACAAGTTACAGTCACCGTAACCAAGCGCGCTTATTGAAATGCACTTCATCCCATTGGTGATTTACGAAATCGCTTTTGTTATTTTAGCCTGTTTTTTAGCGCTACTCGAGACATGACAGGAGCTGCGTAGAGCTGGTATCCGCCTCGTTACTTGGGGCCATATCCCATTGTAACCTTCAGATACTTTCGATGATCACTTGGATGGTCATTAGACTTGGGTACGCTATACATAATATAGTTGTTTCGAGTAAGAACTCACACTCACTTCCTTTTCGAGCACCGAGGAACGTCCTTGGATTGTACGGCTCGGTTTGATAACCTGATTTCACGCTCGTCAAGCAACAGCACGGGAAAAAACGCGATGAAAGCTCTCGAAGGCGACTGAAAATAATGCATCATTCTGAGAGGTAAGCGCCACATGGCAGAATGTTTCTAAAATAGGCTTCAACAAGCATTCAAGGAGAAGCAGGGACCTAGACCACGGTAAACCTGCACTCCTTCGAAGGTTCTTCTCTATATTGTTTTGGTGCATTTACTTATTCAGCACGGAAACAACAGCATGTGGAGTGAGGGTTGGCTTCGGTAGCAATATTATATATAGGATCAATATTACATTTGGCATGGAAACAATCTTCATCTCTTCCAGTATAGAGGTTCATCTTAACGGATGCCCATGTTAAATAAGTAGCGAACCTTCGTTTATGGATGTGAGAATGTATTCGGGGGGGCACGCCTGTCTGAATCGACAGGTAGGCTGCCGGGAAACACCGTATATCTAAGCAAGTGGAGAATGGCAAGAAGCACTTATATCTTATATCTTTCACTGAATGTAGTCTGGCTAGACGCTTACCGTTAATATTCGGGGCTAATGGGCTGACTGACCCTGCTTGGCCATGTCGCTTTCACCAAACCTTGCGACTGGCATGCAAACTCGGGAGGAAGGGCCTTTCCAGGTATCCGATTCTGTATGGAACCCGGGTTGGTATCCATATCTAATCATACACTCAGAGATTGTGCTCTGGATGTTGATTAGATATGACCGCACTTTCCGCAGCTCCACTTCGATTAGATATTGTCAGTTCGATTAGATATTATGATATGCCCTCCCCCGCTCGAACTACATTTTCACCCTTGTGATTACTTCTCTGTTCTGGAAGTCAACCAAATGGCTTCTTCCCGCTAAATTAAGTTACAAGTTTCCAGTTTTCGGACTAATAACGTACCGGCTACACCTGTTCGAGAATCTCTATTAGAAGAAATGGATGCTGGGAAACTTTTTGCAAATCTCAGTACTAGTGCCATTTCAATTACTTTGCAAGTTTAGCGAGGCATGAGAAGTAGCTGGAAGTGTGGAACTCACTCGCAGACCATTTGACGGAATTTCTGTGATAAGGTGAAGTAGACGAAGAACGACAAGCTCATATTGCAAAGTCCAAGAAATACTCCGACGGTGTTCCACACGCATACAGGAATCTCGTTGATAACACGTGGCCCGCTGATCGCCGCCAGAATGAACACCGGGATCGGAGGCAATTCGGCCAGCAGCTGAACATGAAATCATGAGAAAACGCAGAGTGAAAGTTCCATATTAGGTGATAATCGATCCCTCATGTGAATGAGAAGTGCCTGAGGCTGCTTCCGCCATGAGCGTCAACGAATATATTAGTATTCACTAATTATGAGTCAGGAGAAGTGGGATAATAAGAACAGCGTCATTGAGGAGAAACATTGATGTACCTGGAGACTTGTCGTGATGAGTGTGATCCTCGTCACGCATCGCTTCTCAGACCTAAAATTGCTCGAAGTCATTTACAGCATTTCTATCCATCAACTCGCACTCAGTTGGTGTCGGCTTTTGCCTACGATTTTTGAGAGGAGGTCTGGTGACACTCATATGCTATGGTGTGGTGAAGCAAATGCAACTGCAGTAAGGGAGTGCAACCATTTTTCACTCTCTAGGGTAGTAATCACGACAGCTGAAGGCAGTTTTGACCAAATTCACAGGGAAAGATGTTGGGAAGCGGTCTTAACCACACCCCCAGTACGCTGGGAGTTTCGTCTACCGATGACGGTCAATGACGTGAACCGCACCACCCTCCAAATATCGGATCGCAGCCTTCAATCCATGTCAATAGAAAGGTAGAAATTGATCAGCCATCTAGTGTAGACAGAATTCTGACCTTGCTAAGGGGCTTTAATCGAATCCCTGAAGTACCTATTTAGCGCCGAAATGAGTGTTAGTTAGATCAGAATGCGGTGGTGAACTCTGGTCGGCTGTCGCCCATTGCAGTGTGGTTGAGTCCCCCACCAGTGGTCAAATTGCAAATGTCCAAAAAACAGATTTTATAGGAGAGAACTCACGTGAAATGCGACGAATGCGGGAATTCAGACTTCCGCAGCAGAAGTTTCCACACCACTGATACCGTCATGAACACGAGGAGTGACATCGGAATCACAATGGCAAAAAGGAGATTCCCAATCGTGTGAAGGCGTTCAATCATCGTCATTAGTGGAGCTGAAGGGCATGTTTTCCGAGGTGTTGTTAACGGAATGGTGAACATTTTCTTTGAGATCGTTGTGGTATTCCCACAACTACAGAACAGCAAATTCAGTGACAGGAACAGGAACTACAATTTTAAATTTTCTTGTGGAATATTGTGCGAAGGTAAACTGGTCCTGCGTATCGGGATAGCCCAAATTGTGAAGGAATGAGCATTGTGCAAGAAACAATGCTTTTTTGAAATGTACCACGCACTCAAGAATCGTTAAGATTTGTGGTAGTCAAATTCAATTGGTTCTTTACCATGGATCAAGTAACTTGCCACGAAATTATTTTGATTCTCCGAGGAAATGTATTACCAATTAACCAAGTCGGATTATTCAGATGTGGTAGACTTGGCCTAGGAGTCACCGTAATCGGCTAGGTGGCACTCGAACGACACTCCAATCAGATGTGCTAGATGGTACCGCTTGCCACTACACCAACTTCGTTTGAAGAAGCTTCTGTTTGGAAGAGCAGATGTGCATTTTAAGCTGGTTTGACAACAGCATTGGCGCAATTCCCATTGCGAGCGGTAGTAGCTATGGTATAGTTGCATTTAACGGCACACATGCACAGGCCGGGAGTCGAGCAGAACCAATAGGGTCCAAATATTTCATCTTCTTGGGAAGAGCTAAGAGGCACAAGGTGAAGTTGGGCTTATTAAAACATAGATATGAACACCGACTGGCCCGCTCAAGTCGTTCTAAAGAGGAGACCGCATTCGAATGCCACTCGAGTCCGAATGGAAGGAAATTGAGTGGCTAATTCTTTAGTGAGGGTCGTCATTGAATGACTTCACCTTTTGACATCATATGTGTGTGACATTTAGTGTAATTGGTTTTACTGAAAATTCCCATTTTCTTCTACGCCATTTCTGAAATTCGATTTGTTCTATTTGACAAATTGTTCGCTGTAGGTGACGTCAGACGCAACTTAAAAGACACTGCCAGTTTTCAATCTTTCGTCCCGAACACAACGCATATTTTTGAATGTTGTAGTCAGATTGGCGATACCAGAGGGGTTTACAGGGAACGTGAGAGTGCTCAGTGGTATGTCTATGATGAAAAAGAGAGAGAAAACGCAAAAAGGAGACCCTTTTGTATGGCCGTTGATCTTCACTCAAGGACGGGCAGCCGCTAAGACGGCTCAGAAGGTGGGGACGTATGAACGAAATAAGTGCAATGCGTCTGGTAGCACCATGCCAATCATGCTCCAGTCGAGTTGCTCCAGTTGTGCCGCTGCTGGCAACGCAGCTCGTCCAAATCACCAACTAAACTAGTGGGCGGATCGCTTTGGGGCGGAGTGCTTTCGAAGTCCTCTCAACCAGCGCATCTTTCGTCGTGAAAGCGCTACAGCAGGTTCCTTGGCAGCCAGGCAAGTGCGCATCCTGTAGCGCATACACTTCCCAAAGGGCCCTCTCTTTATCGTAACCGCTTCCTTTTTCTAATCACCACGACTCTCCCCTCTGAAGGGAGCACACAAATACGACCTGCGCTCCGCCGCTCGGAACTGCTAGCGATATTCGAACATGGATGCCGCTTCTGATACTTGATAATTGGAGTTTGATTTGCTCGCGTTTGTACTTTCTACTCATGAACGCCTATGAAGATTGAAACGCAGGCGTAGACATCAGCTCGCCAGCATACTTCATTGATTGTACCAAAGGGGACAAATGAAAGGGCCTTGAGAAGACTTTTTTCTGAAGAAAAGTTGGATGCATGGTGCAGTCTATTATGAAGGGAATCTCTCGATGCTTTGACAATGGTAAAGAAAACAAGATACTTACAATCGCTGGCAATGATCTGGACGATGACACGGTCACAGGAGTCGACCGTGAGTGATACAGAGCGATTTAGAGGATAGATGAGTGCCAACAGGAGACCTGCCACTGCTACCACCACGTAGCTCCTGAAAGCACCATCATTAGGAAATAGATCTTCTGAATGGAATCACTCAAATTGCCAACAAGGATTTACTATCAAACGGAACAAAGTACGTACACACTCAACTCTTTACACCTTAACAAGTTCCCAACAAAAATTTGTTAATATTCAAACTATTCCCTACTCAACACATGATTTTTCGACCGTATAAAGTACGACATGACACTCGTGTGGGTCACCACTGTACTTCTTTGAAGTGATAAAATGTTCAGTTGGAGTAGTTTAGCAAGCACACAATGAATTAACCATGGAAAAAGCGTGGTGGAAGGGTTTCAGAAGTTCTAAGAAAACCAAAACAGATTCTTCCCGGACAAAAAGAAACTTATGTCGCCTATCGGAACCAAATAGAGAAAACACTAATCGAAACACAACCAGAAATTACTGACTCTTTTATGCAAATTCGATCACAATTGAAAGGTGATTAGCTGACTTAGTTGAGACTGCACCTCTTCCTCGTCGCTATATGTTTTTTTTTTGGAAAAACAAGCGTAAAGGTCAAAATCATGTATTAAAGTCGGGAAGTCTTCCACGTTCAGCCTACGTCACCCCGTTTCCATTAGAGGGATTTTCATCTGTCTATTCGATGAAGCTTGGAAGCTTGCATCCCCCTACGTACTATTATATCTTCATGGGTTCAAAAACTGGTTTGCTGAATGACTAACTCGAAAGGAGGCGTTTCTTTTGCGAAGATCCCATTTTCTCTTGAGAATTTTTAACTGTGTGTTCTTCTTACCAAAACAGAAGCTAAAATCGGCTTTTAATGGATCCTTACGAGGGAGTTTAGGGCGTGGAGCGCTTTCTTATAATGGTTTTTTGCATGGTATAGGGGCGTGTGCACTAACACAGAACTATGGTCCATTTCCGCTAAATGGCCCTCTGAATGCCAAAAAAGGAGTGGAAATTCTGAATGCCAAAAAAGGAGTGGAAATAATTTCGTCAGAAACTGCAGTTTTTACACATTCAACGTGGTGTGTTTCATTCATGGTGGCCAGAACTACTTGCGTAATGGCGGGCCCTCGTAAACTGTGTACTTAGACCACAAGGGTTATCAGGTGCCCTGATTACGAATGCGACATTCATTTTTAGCTCCGACATCATTTCGGACCCTATGACGCTGTTCGACGGCACGTTGGTGAAGTTTTTGCGTCACAACTTTCTCTCACCAGTTTTTGGTAAAAGCCCACTTGTAAGGGTTTTTGTAAGCCTAATTATAATTATGACATCAATTCCTGGTGTTGGACGTTCTTCGGTGCCAATTTTGTGGCGTCAAATCACAGTGCAAAAATTTTGTCACCGCGGGGAATCGAACCAAGGACCACTTTCCCACCCTTTTTTGGCATTCAGAGGGCCATTTAGCGGAAATGGACCACAGTTCTGTACTCCAGGCACATCCCTCTATATCATAGAAAAACCATTTTGAGAAAGCGCTCCACACCCTGAACGACCTCCCTTTGTGATCATCGTAGAGAGACGTTCAATTTTTTACATTACAGCTGATTGACTGATTGTTACTTGCCAGTACCGAAACGCTCGTTCCCTTGGTTTGGATGGTTCAGCGATGATGATGGTTGAGAAAAGCGCCAGATTTTAACATGAGGAACTTCAATCACGTGTGTTTTCGGAAGGAATCGAATTTCACGAGCAGATTCTGTTTCACGCGAACAACGCTATAATTAAGCTGGGTTGTAAATACCGCTTACGATGTAAAATATGTATTAAAACTTTCTTTAGAACGACAGGTGTCATTTTCCAAAACACTATCCTTTTGTTGTTGCTCTTATGACGTCATTCATACAAATTATGCGTATTCAAAAGTGTTCGCCGAAACGATTTTTCGTGGTCCTCATTTCTTTTGCCAGAAAAAAATCAATGGTGGTCTTGAAACGTTCCTTTTAAGTTCCGATTCTCAAAAACACAAGGAAATAAAAACACTATAAAACATAGCAAATCAATCACTGGAGGGCGTTGATTAGGTGAAAATAAATAATGCACTAAAAATCGAACACTTTGGCCATCAACTTTGACCGGCACTGTATCTCGCAATCTGTTCAAACTTGAGGAGAGATGAACGATTGTGAGCTGATGTCCTTTCAATCCCAGATTGGGATTTCATGGCTACCATCATACCTTTACTAGTTTGATTCGTTCCATCCCCAACCTAATCACCGTTGGTACCCTGTAGGAGGTTATTGATATGAAGTCACTTGAGAGCAAACAGCCGAGCATAACGCTGCTGGCGAAAAAGCTCTTTTGCGTTTGACAATTCCCTGAGGGCCAAAATCGAGTAAGCTCCTCACTTTGAAAGATTCCGCTTCGTACAGAGCGATTTTGAATGCACTGGAAAGAAGACGTGGAGATAGCATTCGCCTGTCATCAGCACCGTCAGCCTGAAAAAGCGGTACAGTTACGTATCAAAGAGAAAACTCTCAATAGGCCGGTACCGTAAAATGCGGATGTAGAAATGGCGAGTGATTTGTCTGTGAAAAAAACAAGCAAAATGGTCAAAGTCTAGAAAGTGGCACCCTCCTTTCTTTCTTTCTTTCCTTTCTAAGACAAGCCTTATTATTTCGCGTCAATCCCGAGCTCATCGATCGGCGCATCAGTGAAGGGTCCTGGAAAACTGTGAGAAATAAAGACCCGGGATTAGTTAACACATTGCTAGATCAAACGCAATTTGCACGCCCATGCCGAACTCCCTTAGAGCTCAAATACCTACCAAACAGGCACTACCGCTGTTACCGACGTCATCAGAAGACTTTCCCAGCACGGGAAGCCACGTTCAGTACTGGTTGTTTGTCTTTCTACAGATTGAGCGCGTAGGGGAGTGATTCTTTTTTCTGGCTCCCTTGTACCATATATCGAACGAATGGAGAAGTACTCAGATGACGAGCTCCATTTTACTGAACTCATCAATTAAACATGAGAGGAATTTCAACGGACACAACAAAGCTGCTGTTGGACTTTTTTCGGCACAGAAACTTGAAAGTTTCTTTTTGCCCTTTCTCCGTGTTGTTTCAAAGCCTCCGGCCCGTCACTTCAATCACAACAAAGTTGAACCCAAGGAGCCTGAGGACAGGAATCCATTAAGTTTCGCATCCCTGACATGAAAAGGAAGCCAGTCCGCTAACGATTTCTCTGTGTAGGTGCGTACGGCTTCTTTGGGAACTGCTCCGGATGTGGGACTTGTTCAAGGAATGACTAAAGCTAATACGTGCTGTCCTAGTTGTGACCTTCTTGTAGCTGTCACCGGTTTCTCGGGATCAAATACGTAGTAGTACACCTATAATAGTACCTCGACACTTGACGGACATGCCTTTCCGAAGTTCCAATTAGAAATAATGACTGTTCTTACCCAGGCATTAAAAAGTGTTGGCTTTTCTCGAAATCAATTTGAGCAATTTTGTTCGAAGAAAAATTATTGCGCACGGAATTTCAAGATCACAGAAACTAGGAAATGCCCTCAGCGCTGACAACAGGCCGACCAAAAGTTCACGTTCAAAATCGACTTTTCAGATCGAATCTCGTCTGGTGGAGCTGCACAAAGAAGGATGGCCCTGCACTTTTCAATCCATATGGCGCAGTCCTTCTCCGAGTTGTCTGCTATTTTCAGACGGCCGTATTGTGTATTGCCTGCCACAAGCATTCGGTAGATTCAAGAATGGATTTCCCTGTGGAACTCCCACGAAAGCAATTTTCACATGGATCAATTAAAATATGAATAAATTTGCTCATCGATCATCATGCCATCGAGACAGTTGTTCATTAAGAGCGCTCTTATGCAAATGTTGCAGCAACTCAGCTGTCGCGCTTTAAAAGGCCTAATTAGTCGGGTCTATTAGCGTCCCATCGTGATTTTCAGTAGAGCAGTCTGTCCATCGAAGAACACTCACTATATGACACTCGACTCGACTCATTGAAACAATCGTCCACTCGCGCGATTCAGAATCCATCCGCAGAGATTTGAAGAAGCAACCCCATTGGAGTAGCTCACGGGTGTCAGTGATGTGCCTGTCATCACTCGAAAGTGTGTGACAATGACGCTAGGGCTTTACAAAGTGAACTAATAAAGGGTGATGTGACTAATAAATCAGGTATTTCGCACGCATCACATGACACAACAAGACCAGCGTCCATTTCAAATACGGCGGGTTAACGGAGCCAGGAGCCATGGAGCAAACAGGCTCAGACAACTCGTCCTAACGCCCCTGTTCATCAGTAGGGGAGAGTTGGAGTATTTATTTAGTAACTTCATCGACGGTTTGCTTTGCTTCTTTTTTTTGAGTCAACCCGACATCTACAATCTCATTGTCGACCGCTGCTACCCAACCAGTTTGAACTGGGATTGTAGGCATGTACAAGACTTAACATAGTGTTGATGAATACGTAGATGATTTGAAACTGCAACTCCATTTACACCCTCCATATTTTGGGAAGGTGAGTGAGGGTGGTCAAGAAGGCCAAATCCATAAACAGACGATGTTCCATATGAAACACCACAATTTGACAACTTTTTTCGCATTTTTCGAAATAAATGGAGGGAAAGAGTTGGTCAGCCCTGCCAATTGAAGTGAGGCTTATACCTTGCGTTTGCCTTAATATGCTGGTAAGCTCAGAACTGATTTCACATCTGCTGAACTAACCTTAAACGCACAGCTGAAGGACAGCGGTAATCGGTTAATAGGCAAGGTGAGGTAAGGTCGTTGATTCGACTTTTTGAAAATTGCTCTCTTGCTTTTTTCAACAGGCAGCTAAAAATATTTTGACAACATAATTTCACCACGTCTGCGTCTGCTTACACGTTTGAAGAATTTGCGATCAGCACACTTTTTCAGACGATTTTAACACGAAACAAGGCAGATCTACGCACCCGTTGATCAAACAGAATCATAGCGTAGAACGGGGGATGGCCTC